ACACATCAAATGCCGTCAACACATCCTTCAAAGACATCAACGATCATGTATTTCATAAAATTTGTTTTTGAACTATTTCTTAGCTCTCAATCAATGCTTACAGTTATACAGCGTTTTATTTCATACTCTCTTTCGCTTTTTAAATATTTGCAAAAATTGTCAATAAATCACATCAATTGACGAGAGAAATGCCATTTTGGATAAAATATTTGATTCGTTTATTAATTGCAATGTAGTTATGGTGAGAGACAATTGAAATTATTGTTTTTTGTCTGCATTTTTAATTATTGAATAAAATATTCATTACTTAAATAGCTATATATTAAGCAATACTTTATAGTAATATTTGTATTATATTTATGTTAAGGACTTTTATATGATTGGTAATCGTTTTGTTTAATTAGTTGTTACTATTCTGTCAGTCGTTTTCAATAGTCATTATTTTATTAGTTGTGATTGAAATGATAATATAGTTTTGAAAACATCACTTTTAATAATCCGTAAATATTATTACATTGAGTGTCCCATATATTTATAACTATATTTAGAACTCATATCTATTGACTATAATTTAATACACATTCAGTATATTAACTGTATTTCTTTGAATTCTCTTTTCATCTGAATAGAGAATATTCTTAACTTTTATAGAATTAATATTTGGTTTGAGTTTATGTTTGACAACATATTAATGTTTGACAATACAAATTGCATCCAATGTTGTCTTTTAATCTTTAAAATAATTACATTCATATAGTTTTTGATTAATATTTATGAATCAAATATTTACCGATATGTGTCTTATTATAAATATTCGACAAAATGACATGTAATACAAATAATTGCATGTTATAAATGCGAATAATGTGCTGCGAAACGAGTTTAAAATTAATTTTTCATATAATTCGTTAGAATTGAAACTCAAATGTAGTTTTCATTTGTCAGTAATTAAGATATAAAATAAATGATTTTCACAAATTTTGCGAAGCAAATGATGAGACCATCAATTCTGTTGTTTCTATGGAGACACTATTCCGGACGTCCGGCGCCTTTAGACCCATTAGTTTTCAATAGTTTTTTTTACGATCGTTTAAGTCGTTTGTGTCTTCAATTTATTTATAGACAACACATTTTAAATGCCATTAAAATCCGAGAAACAAATCCCAGAAAGAAATACTTTATATTTTTTGCAATTTTGAAATTAATTTTTTATATAAAGTAAATGTTATTGCGATCTGTAATCACTTATTTATAAATTGAATTGAATTTATTGATTCTTATACACGTAAACACATACAACATCAGGTGATTTTCATGCAGACGTGTTTTAAACTACAATAAATTTTATAAATTACATTTATTTAAATTTATTTGTTTAAATATATAATATCGTAACTGTTATTTAAGCGACAATATATTATTAAAAATATTAAATGTAAAACGTGTAAAATGCACACTCAAAACAAATATTCTATAATACGAATGAATTTACAGTATTTATTGCTAAAATATAAGGAGAATATATTTGTGTATAACAGAAGTATGATGCAAATTGCACGTTACTTTATTTTGTTAGAATAAAGTTACATTATATTCTGCATGGTTAAAATAATATGGAATTTAACTTTTATGGTGTATGTTATGTCATATTGCAGTTGATTTGACAGACAATATATGAAGTGAAAGAATTTTTACGGATTATCAAATTGTTCTTTATTTCTATGCATATTCTCATACTATCTTAATCTTACATTTCTTGGCTTTTCTTAAATGTAATCAAATATATCATTAATGAATGACAGGACGAAGAGATCATACATTCATGGCTTTCAAGAATCCATTTTGAAGAATATGTAAACAACTTCATCCGCGCGGGTTATGACATGCCCACCATCTCTAGAATGACACCTGAGGTCTGTTCCACTTATCATTCATATTATTATTACCGAACAATTCCCTAATTATCCTCTATTATCACTAAAATAACTCTTATTTGCGTATTTCTATATAAATTAGTATATATTTAGCAAGCTCATTTTAGCTATTTATTTAATAATTACTACAAATTGTCTAATTATTAATGCCACCTCATTTTAGTGCTATTGTTTTAATTTAATTATAACACCAATTAAATCTATTTTTATACCGGTATATTAAAATTATGAATAGGAAATGAATATGTTGTGTACTTAAAATAATTTGATGTTTTGTTAATGTGTTTTAATTGAAAATTAATTATTAATTATGGTAACAATGAATGCATTTTGAATATAGGATTTGACGGCAATTGGAATAACAAAACCACAAAAGAGACAAATCCTGAAGACAGAGATCCAAAAACTGAGTATCGCTGACGGCATCCCATCTTTCAAACCAGTGAGTAGTGAAGTGAACACTCGATTGAAACAATAGTTGACACGTAATGTCTATATAGAGCTCACTGTTGGAGTGGTTGAAGATTTTGCGTTTGGAGGAGTACTTTGCGATTCTGTGTCAACAGGGATACGACTCGATCGATAGGGTGACAGAGTTAGCCTGGGAGGACCTCGAGGAGGTCGGCATCACTAAACTTGGTAATGATCTGCTCATTACTTTGAATTCATATCGATTTACACAAATGGTTTACTCAATGGATTACTCAATGAATTTTTGATTCTTTA